CATGTATATCATTCTGTGTAGAAACGTAGCAGTGGATTTATTAATTTTGCTGCGTTTTATTTCTCATCACATCCTTCACATCTGTTCTCTGGTCGTTATCGATAACCTTGCTCTTTTCTGTGAATGCCATCAAACTTTTCCAAATGTGTTCTGTTTATATTCATTGTTAATAATACTTGTGATTGACATGTATATGGAGCTCACATGTGAAGTTAATATGAAGATCTCACAATATCACCGTGCATAAATATCAAAGCTGCGTCTTCTTATCTTGTATATCCTTGGTAATATAGTCTGTGTACATGAATAGTATCATTGTGCAACATTTCTGTATATTACCTGTATAATCCAAATGTCATTAGTCAATGTTAATTATTCTTTTTCTGCATAAATTACTGCAAAGTGTGACATTTTCTATCAGTTTAGAGTACAGAGGGTTAATTATTCACTGGGTTTTAATTTTGCTTATTTCGCTGACTGGAAAATGCGCTAAATTAAAACCCAGTGAACATGTAAAATTGAGCATAGGACACATTATCTAAATGATAAAACCATGAATTTAAAACCCGCTGAATATGCCTGAAATGGTAAATCAGCGAAATTTAAACTCAGTGAAAATTAGTCATTTTACAATATTACAAGTCAAAATCACTCAAAGACTGTGTGTATAAACTCTACACCCTAAAAGATATTGTTCCTGTCTTAAATGCAGTCTTGAAATGTGAAGTTTAAGATTATTAATTGGTGTGTGCAGGCATGCATCTGTCTAATTTCATTTTCATAACCTGACAATTACCCCGTGAATGCTTCGATGCCATTGTATTTTAGGACAAGTATTGACAATGAACGGTTTGTGTGTGGTTTTACTGGCAGTGTATCTCTACCATCATCTGTATGTTAATTTTGATGCAGTATGACTGAAAATGTCTAAACTAACAAAATGTGGTGATTATACTTTATCAAGAAATAGGCATGGAAAATGTTGCCAGTCAGCCCTTTTTTGTTCAAAATATGTGCACCTGTAACTCCAGTAAGCATGATCTTCATACAGAATTATCTCCAAAAACAGTTTTGGACTTTTTTTACAGACAAAATGGCTGTCAATTTGACAAATCTGACCAAATGACAAAATAACACAACCTACAGTATTACCTACAAGTATGTACTTGTGTGCAGACTTTCAACTGAATCGGCACATAGATGGTTGAACCTTAAATTAGTTTTAATAATATTATAGCATTACAAAGTTCTCAAACTAAAAATTCATAATGGTCTTAATCTCTAGATTTTCATACACATGTAAATGAATATTTTTGAAAATTCTTGATTCATCTCTTGATGTGGTCTTGTCACTATTGTCTACATAAATTCTTTTTTTATGAATAGTTGTACTGTCAAACTTGTGTATAGTGACCACATATGGTACATTCAAACCTGTGTATAGCGACCATCTACGGTACAGTCAAACCTGTGTATAGGGACCATCTATGGAACAGTCAAACCTGTGTATAGCGACTATCTATGGTACAGTCAAACCTGTGTATAGCGACCACCTATGGTACAGTCAAACTTGTGTATAGTGATCACTTGTGTTGCAATTAAACCTGTGTATAGCGACCACCTGTGGTACAGTCAAACATGTGGATAGTGATCACTTGTGTTGCAATTAAACCTGTGTATAGTGACCACCTATGGTACAGTCAAACCTGTGTATAGTGACCACCCAAGGTACAGTCAAACCTGTGTATAGTGACCACCCAAGGTACAGTCAAACCTGTGTATAGTGACCACCCAAGCTACAGTCAAACCTGTGTATAGCGACCACCTATGGTACAGTCAAACCTGTGTATAGTGATCACCAGAGGGACTTTATAGACAGGTGGCCTCTATACTGAGGTTGGATTATTATTTTATGAATCCTCAACTCGTACATTTGACATTCATCCAAACAATAATATATCAATGATAATGATAGTTCAGCAACAAAACCCATTAATTTTAGTTGATCAAAATCAATTTTTACAGAAAGGAATTGATTATTTTATAAACAGAATGCTAATTTTGATTTTGGTCTCTAAACAAATGTATAGCTATAGGGTGGTCAGGTAAGACAGGTTGTCATTATGTATTATTATATGCTTTAGGACTGTCTGAAAGTGGTCACTTATATACAGGTGGTTACTAACACAGGCTTGACTATTTGTATTGCTTACTCCACTCATTTATTTTTTCCTGATGGCATGTACATATTGTTAGACAATGCAAAACTCTCGTACATGTTTTGATTAAATTTAAGTATGCAAATTAAGCTGATTAATATGCAGGGAATTTTACTAAAACTGATCAGGTTTGTACCATCTGATTTAGGACAATTTTTGTTTCTTTTCAGTTGATGTACACATGTTCATATTTTGTTGTTTGTTCATGAACGAGCTAGCAACCAGGATTGGCTTTCACACAACGTCTCATTTTCATGCCATTTTTTTTATCACATGAGGGTCATGTATTTGTTGATTTTGCGTTGCATATTGTTCGCATTCAAATCATCAATTATTTTATCCACCACATTTGTGATTTAGTCTTACTCTGACTTCTATGATGCCCATGATCCACCAAAAAAAAAATACAATTACCATGGCTAAGCAGGACTACTGTAAAATACTTTATTTTAGCTGGAATTTATTTTCGCCGAACAGATTTTTTGTATGGAATTTTTGTATGATTTTTGACAAGTTGAATGTAAAATTTAGGGAAAAAAAGTTTATTCGCTGAATATTTTTTCACTGAATCATTCCTTCAGCGAAAATTAATTCCAAGCGAAAATAAAGTATTTTCACAGTATTTGAGGTCTAGGTATGAGGCGGTGAAATACAGTTTGTATACCCTACCTAATCAACATGTCTGGTACAAAAATAGAACTCAAAATAAAGTGAATAATTCTGATGAGTGGAAATAAACATAACAGTAACGTACATTTTGTGTGTTACAAACTGTGGTAGTCTAGCAATGACTGAACTCAACTCTTCCACCGTGGTGTGCTAATCACAATGTTATCAATTTGTCAATTATTTTGCATATCATATTTAATATTTACAGTAATATTTCAACTGTTTTCCTAGTCTATTTATGCATTGATAAAACTATGAATATAAAAAAAATAGAGTACCGGTAGTTGCTGTAAAATTGTAACGCGTGTTCTTGTGACAAATCCAAAGTCTGAGTTGAATTTTTACTGTCTTCTGCACCGTACAAAAAAAATTATAGCTTTATACAGCAACATGTATATCTTTTTTTTTTAAATATTTTTTGTGCCAGGCGACAGTTCCGGACATTCAATGTCACTGTTGTCTCTCCTGACTTTTTTTTGTATGTGCAAATTGCAAGTGCTAGTGACGACGCCTAGTGCATTTTGTCACAGAAGTCATATGACAGGGCTGTGTGACCATCTCTTTCAAATGGCAATTTATAATGCGCTATCCTGGCGTCAACCTGGCTCGGTCGAACACAAGCACCTGCGGACCTTAACCAAGGTTCCCCCAAAGTCGCATTCGTTAGTGAATGAATCTCGGCCAGTGGAATTGGCCTTCCCATTGAGTCTGTGGTACACTCACCCAGGGTAGGGGTCGACCCTTTTGACGTTCAGCCTAAAGTAGAATTTGAAATTGGGTCTACCGATCATGAGTCTGATGCAACACCTACTATGCTACCAGTGACCATGTATATCTTTTTAACCAGTTAAAATTTCTGTAAAACGTGTCTTTATCTAACATGTTATTTTGCCAATTCATAATGACTAATTTAAAGTAGACTTGTCATGAGATTATTGGCATTTTAACTAAATTAAGATTCTGTTAATTCATGCATTGAGTCAAATTTGCTGACATTTCAGCGTTTTACACGCATGTTTTGGGTTCTATATACATTTCAAAATTTCAGGTAGTTTTATGTCAGATTCATCAGTGCTAAAAAACATGTTTCCTTCATAACTGTGTACAATTTCTTATTTAAAAAGTTTAATATGCCAGTGCTTGTCTCACTTTACTACTTCTCTTGCTGAGAAATAAATATTCATTTTTTTTATTAGTCAATTTGTAATGCTTTTCTTTTGTTATAGACGTGTGTACAAGAGTGTGTATTCAAAGCACTATACATGAACAGATTTACCAGTGAACAGAAACTCTTTGAAGTCACAAAATCCAATAATAAAAAAAGATTACCTAGAAAGCCCAATGTCTACTTGAGGAAAGAAGGGGGATCAAAACTATTTTGTAACAAATTAAATGTAATTTAAAGAAGGTTACGACACAAGATGCTGAAATTCCGGTAAGGACAATGTTGCTACGGTAATAGAGAAAAGGAATGCAACAAGTGTCTTTAATGGCAGAGTACATTTATTTTGTCCAGACATGTCATAAAATGGCTGCCATATTGACTGATGCATTATGGGTGCATTATGTAAATATGGCAACTGAACACAATATAGGCAGCCCATTTGACAAGCAATAAACTGACAGGTATATAAGTACAAGATCCCTTGCTGAAAATAAAAATAGAATTTGCAGCTTTTCAATTTGCAAAAATGTTATTAAATATTGATAAATAAAACTCTGGTAAAGTCACCAATAAAACTGGCCTGTTCTGAAACAAAAAATGTACTATTTTCAGTACAGTTTTAAAAAATAGCTTTCGCTTCACTGTTGAAGTTTTAGACGCTCTCTTATTTATATTCACACTGTTTGTCAGTGTTGACTCACCAAGACAGATCACTAAGACGATGTGACTTTCACAAAATGTTGATCATGGATTGCTCTCAAGTTGTGAAAATTAAATGGTTAACAGTAACTATGGTAACGTATTTGCTCTATTCTCATCTCCAAAACATGCATTTATTGAACGCAATCATATAAAGTACTAATAAGGAAATATTGAGTTTGAGCCGTACATTACAATTTTCCATTTTTGACAAAGATGAAATTACTATCTTCGACGATACAACAAAGAAAATGAAAGATTTATAAGATAAGGATGCAACATGCAATGAACATCTCCCATGATGATCACATGACAGACACACTAACAAAAAAATACCTAGTCTGTGAAAGAACTGGTGTTTGTCTAGTACCCTTAAAATGTCGCATTCCTGAATACACAAACTTTTTCAAGTATCAGCTGTGACAATGTCATGGTACACTGATATCCATTACCCCTATCTTATAAATCTTTTATTTCAGATGTTGTAAATCACTTTATTTTTGAAGGATAAATTTTGCTAAAGTTGAGTCCTACATGAAAAGTTTCAGTGACTTCCATTGAAATGTCATCAATAATGCCACAAATCATGAAAATTGAAAATGAAACTGTTTACAGCATTGAATTATTACCCAAGTGCACATATAATAAAATTTTACTATATACTACCAAGAATAAAGAAAATATGGTAATTATTTCGCTGACAACATTGTGCACTCCATAGAAGTTCAAACTTTTAGGGCAACTAAAGATAGTTATGGCAAGGGTAAAATGTAATCAAATGATGAACAGCTTTCAAAGATGATTTCTTGACTTGTATACACCTGGTTTATCACTATTACCTCTAGCCCTGGTACAAAATTAGCAAGCACATACAAGTTGTTATAGGGAACTACAGAGAGACGTTTTCTGGTCTGTCGTAATTTCACCACAACATTGTGAGCACTATATGGCTGTAAGTTACAAACATATCCGTAACTCGTATACTGTAAAATACTTTATTTTCGCTTGGAATTTATTTCCGCTGAAGGGACGATTCAGTGAAAATAAAATCCACTGAATATACCTTTTTTTCTATATTTCCCATTCAACTCGTCAAAAATCAGTGTAAATAAATTCCATATAAAACACCCGAAAATCTTTTCATTGAAAATTAATTCCAGCAAAAATAAAGTATTTTACAGTACTTCTTGAACTATGACTAAACCAAAGACATAATCTGGTTCTGTAAATAAACTGCATTCATTAGCTTACCCATGAAGGTGAACTAGGCTTTTAAACAGGTCGCTATGGAAACATTCATGGACATCAGTTGTAATTAACCTCTGAACCTTTGCCCATGTTTTTACTATAGCTGTAGTTGGGGACACACTAAAATGGTAACAATTGACATGGTTCTCTCTCTCAATGAGCTCCCAGTGACCATTTGGGTATACAATGTAGTATTAATTTCTACGTAAATGATCCAATAAGGTTATTTTGCACCATCCCTTCCTTTTTATACTAACCTGAACCATTCTTAGGTTCTCAGAAGATCAAAGTTGAAATAATATTTATCAGTGTTTTTTTCATGTGAATTCAAACATTTTAAAACAAATATTTACATTCTGGAGAGAAAAAAAGATTCTGAATAAATTAGGTTGACTCAATAACACTCCGATACAGATCTCATAATTTTCCTTTAAAAGTTCAAACTATGAAATACTTTGTAGTCTTGTAGTCTTATTGAGTTCACCCCCCCCCCACCCATGATACACTTAAACACATCATTTAACTCAAAAAAACAAATGTGATAGAATATATTTAAGAAATAATCCTAGCACAAATACTGGTCTACTCTTGAAAATCTGCGATTAAATATGGCTACTCATTGGAGGAAATACAAATTCAGTTATTTTCAATCGTTTTGATAACTGCAGCATATAGAGATGGCGCCCTCTACGGTCAATGTAGCAAATAATTATTTCATAGCATGAGGGCGCTGTTTCCCGACTTCTGGTTAACTACAGAAAACCAGATTTAATAAATTAAAGTTGCATTGAAAATTTGCAAAGCTCAAAGTTTTTAACTTTGATGTAAATGTTTAAAGAATATTCGTTTTTTTTTTCTCCTTAGTTGTTGTAAATGTTGTTTATAAGCAGTAGCTATTACATAGCCATGAACACAAATAAGGTAGCTTTTAAGACAGTATAATACTCAAAAATGAAATATGGTAAGCTTGAAAAAAAAAAAAAAAATGATTGGTGACCATCAAATTCAGCATTTTAAAATGATGTGTGAAATGCAAAAATGAATAGAAATCTGATTAATTGGATTAAGTTGATTCCAAGTCAAGTCATAACAAATCATGATGAATCAACTCTGATATAAGAAAAAAACAATTCACATCAAACTTTTATAATGTTTATAAGTCATGGGAAATAATCTCAGTCATTTTGAATAGAAAGATTGTCATAAGCCTTTTTTTTTAAAAAACAAGATCACTAAGTTTCAATCACAACTTCCAGAATCTTAATAACACATTTTTTTTCATTTTTCTATAGTTAAGTTTTCAATATTAAGTAAAATTAGGACTAAACACAAACCTTATTCATGCTTAAAATTTGAAATGAGACATGAAGTTATTAATTTTAATATTCTTCAGAATTTATAGGTTATACCCAAAACTATTCATTTTTTTTTCTCTAACATAATTGTCAGTAAAGTGTATTTGACTTCTTGCAATAATTTTAATTTTTAAATGTTTTGGGAAACAAGACAACAATTTCATAGTCTCTGTATTAGTAAGTGTGCATGGACAACGCTGGGTTTAAACCATGTATGATTTTAGTGTCACCAATTATAAACTAGAGAATAAGGTATACTGGTAATGTCAATTCATGTATGCATGGACTGTATTGGGCTTTCATATTCAGGACTATGATAGCTTTCAGCAGCCAGATGGACGGATGCAACAGTTTTTTTTTAAAAAAGACAAAATAACAGAAATACGCATGCAGGCAGGCAGGCAGGCAGGCAGGCAGGCAGGCATCTCAATAAGTGGCTGCTCCATAAATCTAGAAAATCATGTGACAGCATAGAATTTACACATGTTTGTACAAGTATAAGATATAGTATCCAAATATTGTGATACAAATGTTTTGAAAATGACTAATGTTACTGCTGGATCAAAGAGGTTTCTATATTTCAATTAAGAAACTTTGAAGAGATCTGTTTAATATATCTTATGAAGATACAATAAACCGTCAAGATTTTTTTGTGGATGGATAAAAGTTAGCAACGGTGGGAAAGAGTTATGTTAATAAATATGGAGCATATTGATATATGTGCATATCAGTGTGTGAGTCTGTCTGCGTGTGAGTCTGTCTGCGTGTGAGTCTGTCTGTGTGTGATTCTGTCTGTGTGCGAGTCTGTCTGCGTGCGAGTCTGTCTGCGTGCGAGTCTGTCTGCGTGCGAGTCTGTCTGCGTGCAAGTCTGTCTGTGTGCGTGCATGCGAGTCTCTGCATGCGAGTCTGTCTGCGTGCGAGTCTGTCTGCATGCGAGTCTCTCTGCGTGCAAGTCTGTCTGTGTGCGAGTCTGTTTGTGTGCGTCTGTCTGTGTGTGAGTGTGTGAATGTGTCAGTGGCACTATTTCATGATTGAACAGAAAGTATTCTTTTCAACAGCTTTTTTTGTGCTATAGTCGAAAATCAGCAACAAGTCAAAGAAAATCATCTCACATTAACACCTAAATTTCAAAATTGAACATTAGCATAATATATTGTCTTAATAAAGTATATCTAGTTCTTGGCTTGGCATTGTTGTTGGTTCACGTGGAACTAAGCGCATTGGAGGTCGTACAACTACTCTGTATTGCAGTTCAAAATCAATCGCCAACTTCTTTCGCCATTTTCGTACCTTCTGCTCTTTCTTATGACGTTGTATTTTCTTATGCAATTTATAACTGCCATATACTGGTAACGCTACAGTGCCGACTGCTAGAAGTAATCCACCAGCTCCGACAGCCAGTGACGCTACCACTGGTGCCGCTAGGATTTTACCACCTGAAAATAATAAGAATTGAAATACAATAAAACAATTGAAACTTTGCTATACTGTGGAATACTTTATTTTAGCTGGAATTAATTTCGCTTAAAACACTTTTTAAGTGTTTTGTATGGAATTTATTTTCACTGATTTTTATCAAGTTGAATATAGAACATAAGAAAAAAGGTATATTCGCTAGATTTTATTTTCACTGAATCAAATTAATTCCAAGCAAAAATAAGTATTCTACAGTATATAAAATAACACACAGCTGTAGCATATGCTGCTTTAAGTTTGCTAGAGAAGTGAATATTTTACTGTGGTCATTAAGATCCACGGTCATCATGACAATTATATTTGATCTAGATGCCATGTGATGTCCACAAAACATGTAGAAACATTGTCATGGCAACCATTTCTAAGGCAATAAATAGTACAAGAATTAGAATTTTAGAAACTTAAGTGTTTCATTTCAAAATTCACATATTACATAATTGTATACTGTAAAACATGTCTTTTTAGCTATTTTAGCTAATCCGCAATTCCGTTAAATTAAGATGTCGCTAATTAGAATAGAGTATATTCTCACAGTAAAATTGTTGGTTCTTTAGCTAAATTAAGATTCAGTTAGTTCATGCATTGAGTCAAATTCGCTAAAATGGCATGTTAAACACGTTTTACAGTGCTTATGTATACCTCGAACTAGAAAAGAAATAAAGCGTTAAAATAATAATAATAAATAGGACCCCCTAGTCATGTCAACAATTTCCAGCTAGGTCACATGACACACTATAAATGCTACAATCAATTAGTTCTCAATTTGCAGCAACAAACATAAATACATGTACAAATCTCTACCTATGCAAATAAATAAACAAACAAACTGGTCACATAACTTGTACGAATGTTTCAATTTAACTGAATATTTTACGTGTCTATATTTAAAATAAATTTGTGTAATGCAATGTTAAAACTACCCTTTTGGTAACAAATCAATAAACATGTATACAGCATGTATTTATGGTGATAGCATGCAAATAAGAGGATAAATAAATTTTTGTTTGACAACGCTTTTTCTCCAACTGCTATAAGCATCAACGCCACTATGTATTCATTTGACCCATTTTTCAACTCATTTTTCATTGAATTCTTTCTAAAACAAATTTTAAACTAAAATTGATGCAACCATGCATACATGTACATGTACAGTGTAGGAGATCCATAAATAAGAGTTTTTCACACACACAAAATAAATAGTTAATTTTTTTTTTTAAATATACTGACAATCTGAAAGTTAATAAGTCATTAAAAATATATATAGTTTTTTTGTAAATAAACAACAGAAAGGTCAAGGGCATTATTTGTAAATAAACAACAGAAAGGTCAAGGGCATTATTTGATTTAATGACTATCTGAGATGTATAATCAATAACTTGGAAATATGCCAAGTCTCATTGGTGGAACATGTGGAAGATACACAGACTTTAATTCAAACTGAACACATGTACTTGATTAGTTAAATCAAAATCGACTATCTTTACAAAAAATCTTAACTAAATTCTGACTAAATTGCATGGTAAATATCATTTCATGTATTCTGCTCTAAAAACTTAAAATATGTAAAAAAAAAAGTTAAATAACAATTTTTTTGGGAATAATTTAGTTAATCACACGTTTTATTTAGAAGATGTTTTCAGGTCACGCTACACAAGATGACAACCCTCACATTTAATCTATTGATAGTTTCATGTATTAAGACCCTTAATATATTCAGAATATTTTTATTTTTGTCACAAGCTATCACAAAATACTGCACTAAAACTACAAAAATATGCTTGCAAACGGTGACAAACATTTTTACAAAAAATTCGTTTGAAAATTTTTTTTTTAAATATACAAAAAATTAATGGCAAATGTTCTCAACTCAGTAAAATTTACAAAAAATTATTGGCAAAATGTTCTCAACTCAGTTGTTATTTAGAAAATCAATTTTATTTTACGTTTAACAAATTGCAAGGTAATTTGGTGATGCAATACATATTTAGTATTCATATCGATGACCCCAATTCACATGAAACCGCATTGCCATGTATTTATATCACTCGATATCTCACATTGAACTCTGGGATAGCTGAAAACTACACCTTATATAAATAATTCTTAAGGCTTTAACCAATGAAATTCAGTAAAATTGATCACATGGAGGTCACATGACCTGATAAAATGGTATAAAACTACCCACTTCTATAAATTGTATGCCAAAAAATGGAAATATCTTTATGTCCAATGAGTTTTTTCTTTAATAATTTCCAAACAAACAAACTGTCATTTTATTTAAATTATTTTATTGCATATAACAAAACTAACAAAATGTATCTTAAACTAAAAAACCGACCCCAGTATGTATAATTCCACAAATTAATTTTTTTTTCAATTTCAATAAAACAAATCATAAGTACATATCTGAAACAAATTTAAATTTTTTACAGAAATATGTACCTGTATTAGCTAAGCAGAGGTTTACTAGAAAATATTTACTTATACATGTACAAACAAAGCAAATATTGACCTTTATCAGTTAAGCAGAGGGTTTAATATAAAATATGTAACTGTACTATTAAACTTAGCAGAGGTTTACTAGAAAAATGTCTAATTGTACTAGCAACGCAGGGGTTTTACAAACAAATATTTACCTACACTAGCAAACCAAGGGAGTTTTTACTAGGAAATATTGACCTGTATTAGCTAAGTATGGCAGGTGTTTTGCTAGAAAATATTTACCTACACTAGCAAACCAAGGGAGTTTTTACTAGGAAATATTGACCTGTATTAGCTAAGTATGGCAGGTGTTTTGATAGAAAATATTTACCTACACCATATTGTAGCAAAGAAACAGGGTTTTACTAAGAAATATCAACCTGTATTAGCCAAGCTGGTGTTTTACTAGAGAGTATTTACCTACACTAGTAAAGCAGGGGATTTTACTAGGAAATATTGACCTGTATTAGCTAAGTATGCCAGTATGCCAGGTGTTTTGCTAGAAAATATTTACCTACACTATATTGTAGCAAAGAAAGGGGGTTTTACTAAGAAATATCTTACTAAGAAATGTATTACTAAAAAATGTATTACTAAAAATGTATTACTAAGAAATGTATTACTAAGAAATGTATTAGCCAAGCTGGTGTTTTACTAGAAAATATTTACCTACACTAGCAAAGCAGGGGGTTTTACTAGGAAATATTGACCTGTATTGGCTAAGTATGGCAGGTGTTTTGCTAGAAAATATTTACCTACACTAGCAAACCAAAAGGGTTTTTACTAGGAAATATTGACCTGTATTAGCTAAGTATGGCAGGTGTTTTGCTAGAAAATATTTACCTACACTAGCAAACCAAAGGAGTTTTTACTAGGAAATATTGACCTGCATTAGCTAAGTAGGGCAGGTGTTTTGATAGAAAATATTTACCTACACCATATTGTAGCAAAGAAACGGGGTTTTACTAAGAAATATCAACCTGTATTAGCCAAGCTGGTGTTTTACTAGAGAGTATTTACCTACACTAGTAAAGCAGGGGATTTTACTAGGAAATATTGACCTGTATTAGCTAAGTATGCCAGTATGCCAGGTGTTTTGCTAGAAAATATTTACCTACACTATATTGTAGCAAAGAAAGGGGGTTTTACTAAGAAATATCTTACTAAGAAATGTATTACTAAAAAATGTATTACTAAAAATGTATTACTAAAAATGTATTACTAA